ACTGATGACTCCAGCTGAGGAGATCTCGGGCTCATAGATGTAGATGGAAGGAATTTCAGAGATGATCAAGTCCAGTCTCCCCATTTTATGGATGGAGAAAGTGAGGCCCAGAGAGGTTATGTGATTTGCCCAGAGTCACACAGCTAGTGTCTGAGGTAGGATTTGCATTCACGTCTTCCTGACTCCAAGTGCAGAGCTCTAGTCACTAAACCAAGCCTGAGTGGAATGAAAGGCAGCAGAAAGGAGATGTCTACCTTTTTGCCTAGTGTTCAAAGATCCACTACAGACACTCCAGCCTTTTCCCTCAGGGATCTCAGGGACAAACTGATCTCTCTCTTTCAGCCTCATGGACCTAATACTATTCTATGCCCTCCTTCTCCAACGTGGAGTCAAGTCAAGTCAACAAACATTTAATCAAGTGCCTATGATACTCTAGGCACTGTGTAGAGCTCTGAGGATACCAAAAAAAAAAGGAGAAGCCTTGCTCTCAATGAGGCCATGGTGTAGTTAATGGGGAAGGCAACATATAAACATCTATCTAATAAAAAATAGCTAGCCTTTAGACAGTGCTTTGAGATCTGCAACACACTTTCCATGTATTATTTCATCTGATCCTTACAACAATCCTGGGAGGTAGATGCTATAATTATCCCCATTTTACAGTTGAGAAAACTGAGGCAAACAGAAGTTGAGTGACTCGTCCAGGATCAAGCAGCTAGTACGTGTCTGAGGCAAGATTTGAACTCAGATCTGCCTGATTCCAAGTCTGGCATTCCACCTACTATATCATCTAGCTTCCAAACAAGATTAAGGCAGGATAAATTGGGGGGTAATCTTAGAGGGAAGGCACACCACCGGTAAGGAGTCCTGGGAGTGATTTCTTGTGGAAGGTGGGACTTGAAGCGGCCAGGGAAGTCAGAGGGCAGATATGAGGAGAGACAGCATTCCAGGAGTGAGAGACAGTCAGAGAAAATGATCAGAGGAGGGAGATGGAAGGTCTTGTTTGAGGAACAGCCAAGAGGTAAGGGTCACTGGGTCAGAATATTGGGGAGGGGAGGTCAGGCGTAAGAAAACTGGAAAGGTAGGAAGGGCTTTGAATGCCAAACAAAGGATTTTACATTTGATTCTGGAGGAGGTAGGAAGCTACTGGAGTTGATTGAATTGGAGGAGTGGGTGATGGCAACATGGGCAGATCTACACTTTAGGAAGATCAGTTTGACAGCTGAGTGCAGGATGGACTGGAGGGTTTGAGGCAGGGAGATGAGCCAGCAGGCTACCGCAGTAGTCAGTATCTGAGGCCTGTACCAGGGTGGTGGCAGTGGCAGAGGAGAGAAGGGAGATGTTAAGACAGGTAGGAGCTATATAACTTGGCAATTAATTGGATATAGGAAGGCAGGGTAGGAGGTGCTGAGGATGACATCAAGACCGTGGACCTGGCAGTGATCTCAACAATAATAGGGAAGTTAGGAAGAGGCAGGGGTGTGCTGGAGTCAGTTTGGGCTTGAGAGAGCTGATTGTTAAAATTTCAGTATAGCATTTACAGCCCAGAAATCAGCAAGCACTATAAACTGGAGTTGGATTTATTGTTCTGTCAATTGTCTGGCCCTAAGAGAGTGATGGTGAAAATGTTAATAATTCAGATTCAATTTTAAAATGTGTTATTTGTACATTTTTTCAGAGAGCTGGTTATTAAACATTTACCAGCGTACCCATAGGAGGGGGAGGGGATGATCTTTAGGGAAATACAATGACTTAATTTTTGAACATTTTGAGTATCAAATGTCTACAGGACGTGCAGTTTGAGATGTCCAGTAGGTAGCAGGAGATGTGACTGGAGGTCAGGAGGAAGGTTAGGGCTAGACAAATAGATCTGAGAATCATCAGCACAGAGGTGATCATTGAATCCATAGGAGCAGAGGAGATCACCAAGTGAAACAGTATAGAGGAACAAGGGAAGGGGGCCCAAGACAGAGTCCTTGAAGACTCCACAAGGAGCAGGTGTAAGTTAGATGAAGATTCGGCAAAGGAGGCTGAGAAGGAACAGTTGGACAAGTAGTAGGAGAACCAGGAGAGAATAGTATCCCTTGGGTGAGGGCACCTGGGGAGGCATCCAAGAGTGTACTGGTAAATGTTTAACAACTGCCTCTCTGGAAAAAAATATACATACATACATACATACATACATACATACATATACACACATACACATATATAATATATATACATACAACAAACTTTTAAGTTCAATTTGCAATATTAACATTTTCTGTACCACTTTCTTAAGTCTAGACAATCAATAAAACAATAACTCAAACCCTGATTTGTAGTGTTTGCTGATTTCTGAGGTGCAAATATTCATACTGAAAAGTTAACAATCAGCTCTCCAGAGCCTAGCATATCATGGAGACACCCAACTTGGCATGATGCATTGATTCCCTGGGCTCGGCTGAAGTCTGGCACCTGAAGGCTTATAATTTTCTTCCCGGTGACAGACACAGATAGAGACTGGATAGGCTGAGAGAGATCTTGGACCCTGACATTTTCCCTCCATACCACCCTGGCTGGCTTCTTCCTCTCCCTGGGTCATTGAAGGCTCATCTTATTAATTCACTTCCTTCTCACTTACTGCTTTCTGGAAGAGCAGTACCTAGAGGTCACCGATGCCCCCTGTCTCTATTAAAGCATTCAGGTCACTAGGGTTTCTGCAAACTTCTAACTTCTCATAATACCTTCACTCTGACCTCAGCAAGACGTTTCATTTCTCCAAAACTCTGTTTTCTTATCCTTAAAATGGGCATGATAATCCATACATATATCACTGAACTCACAGAGTTGATATGAGACATCATATATGCAAAATGCTATACACAGTAATGTCTCCTTCATACAGCTGAAAAAATGATCCTTATAAAGCACAAGTCTGACCAGGTTACTACCCTGCTCTAGAAAAGTTAGTGGCTCTAGAATAAAATCCTAATTGCTCAGCCTGGCATTTAAATCATTTGAGGATTATTATACATTGCTGCCACTTGTACACCCTCTCCTCTCTCCGGTCCATCCTCCACAGAACTGCCAAACTAATATTTCTAAATTACAGTTGTGACCGTGTTCTCTCCCCGCTCAAAAAAGCTACAGTGGTTCTTTATTGCCTCTAGGACAAAATATGATCCCCTTTGGTCGACATCAAAAGCCCCTCACTACTTGTCTCTAGCCTATGTCTCCAGGCTTCTTTCTTATTTCTCCCCTTCATGCATCATCATTATCATGGCTTTTCTTGAGAGCTGTAAGGTCTGCAAAGCGCTCTAGGTTTGTGATAGCATTTGGTTCCTCTATGTTCCGGCCACGTTGGCCTACTTTCTGGGAGAAGGAGTCACCCCTCCTCTGGGAGAGGCACAAATTGCTCCTTGTGCCTGGAATGCTCTCCCTCTGCACTCCCAGAAGCCCTGGCTTCCTTGAGCCTTAGATCATGCACCATCTCCTAGGAGAAGCCTTATCTGATCGATCAACAAACACATATAATGATATATACATGTAATATGTATGCAGGTATATATGTGTGCATGCTTGCGTGTGTGTGTGTGTGTGCGCGCGCGCTCGCGCGCACGCACGCGCACATGCTCACTGTGCAAAGCACTGGGGAAATCAAAGACAAAAATAAAGCAGACCTTGCCCTCGGGGAGCTTACGTTCTTTCAGGAGCAATGACACATACACGCACAAGTAGATACAAAATATTAGTCAGTCAATAAACATTTATTAAGCACCTACTATGTGCCGAGCACTGCACTAAGTGCTGGGGATACAAAAAGAAGCAAAAGACAATCCTTGCCTTCAAGGAGCTTACAACCTAAAGGGAGACACAAATACGGATAAACAAGCTTTCAGTCACTTTTCAGTCGTGTCTAACTCTTCATGACCCCATTGGGGCTTTTCTTGGCAAAGATACTGGAGGCGTTTGCCACTTCCGTCTCCAGTTCATTTTACAGATGAGAAAACTGAGGCAAATGGAATTGAGTGATTTGTCCAGAGTCACACAGCTACTAAGTGTCTGAAGCCAGATTTGAACTCAGTAACGTGAGTCTTTCTAACTCCAGGTCCAGCACTCTATTCACTACACTACCTAGCTACCCCCATAAACAATCTACATACAGGATAAATATTATCCCATTAATTAGTACTCTTTACCTCTTCAAGTTAGAATGTATATATATACTTTTCTCTTTACATTTTATACCTTCTCTCCAGTAGAATGTAAGTTCTTTGAGGGAAAAATGGTTTTGGGGTTTTTTTAGGTATCCCTAGCACTTTGCAAATAGTAGGTGCTAACTTGTTAGTTGGATTGGAAATAAATGCTCATTGTCAGTCGTTCTTATTATTCTACCTTTTGCTCCTAGCCTCCTACCACCCCAGAACACCGTGGGGCTCCTGAGTTTACCCCAGCCTTTTCTCCATTTCAGATAAAACCTTGTACAGAAAGAGTCCCATACTTCCACCCCCATTCTCTTCATGCTCCCTCCCCATCTTCCTTCAGGGTCATCCCACTCCATTTTCCTCTCCCAGCCCGTCACTCTCTGCTCGCCACCTGCCCCCAATCTGTAATTGTACCAAACTTGGGAAAGAACGCCACCAGTGAAGGTCCTCGAGGCTCAAAGTGAGGATTCTGGCCAGAAGAGATTTGGAGCAGGGCAAAGGGCAGAGATGCAACTCAGAAGAGACAGCAACTTTGGGGTGGGAGGGCAGGGGCTGGTGGGGAGCTGTTCTCTGTAACTATCCTCTGTCCCTCTAGCATTCAGGTCCTAACTAGCTTTATTCTGACCCAGGGCAAGTTTCATAAAATATACCTGAAGCAAACAATATGGAAAGTGCCCTCCAGTGATAAATTCAGGAGGAAAGGAGTGAGAAAGGGGCCTGATGACAATGGACACCCTGGGCAGAGAGAGGACATGGCAAGGCAGCCCCGCTTTGGTGGGGGGGGGGGGCGGGGGCAGGGGCAGTGCTCACCTGGGGTGCAGCTACCAGGAGAAGGACTTGCCAGGTACTGAGCCCAGTTGTTTGAAGACATTTGCTGGGTTCTGTATGTCTGTAAGTGCTGAGGTGGAAGGCAAAGGAGACTTAAGGCCAGAGCTACCCCACTGAATCAACCCAAGTTCTTGTGATTAAAGTTATCTGCCGTGAATTGGGGGAGGTAATGTGGAGACAAGGTGAGCCAGGGGCCCTGAATATTTCAGAGATGGGGCTGGACCATTTAAAGTGTGGCTCTTAAATTGAGATCCAGGGCTGTTTGAACTTGATTAGAAGAAAGAAATGACATCTTTATTTTCACTAACCTCTAACTGAAATTTAGCATTTCCTTCTATTAAAATTTTTTTTAAAAAATGATTCTGAGATGTCTATTGGCTTTGCCAGACTACTAAAAGGACCCATGACCCACAAAGGGTAAAGAACCCCTGATGTAGAGTGGTTAAGTGGGGGCCACAATCAGCCTGCTGTTTTTTTCTTTCTTTTATTTTTCAAAAACTCTTTCAAAATTTTAACAGCATTAAATCAGATAAACACAAAAGTCACAAACTCAATTATGTTTGGCCTTATATGAGTAGAATTTCAGCCTGGAGCTTTTGAGTGAAGCCAACCTCTCCCCAGCCCAGCCTTGAATTGGGCCTAGTGGGGAATAGTGGCAGATTTGGGGCTTGTCAGAAAGGCAAGGGCTGACCCAGTGAAAATGGGCACGATCTTTCACGGGAGGAGATGGATATTCAACGAATATCCTTCCTGATAAAAAGACCAGAGCTCAACAGAAAATTTGATCTTCAAATACAAGACTCAAGGGAGACATAAAAAGATAAATGGGACAGAAAGAAACAACATGTTATTAATAAGGGCAAACTATTTACATCCCTACGAGGGAAGATGACGCTTGTAACTTGAGAACTGTATTGTTATTACACCACGTTAAAGGGATATACATAAAGGGGGTGGGTATAAATTGACTTTGATGTAATGATGAAAAAAATCTAATCAAGTGGGTTAAATGGATCCAAGTAAGTGAATTAATCTGATCTAACTAAGAAAATGTACTGAGAGAAAAGGAAAGGAGGAGGCAGACAAGGGTAAATTACATCACAGGAAAAGGCACAAAAACCTATTACAGCAGAGGGAAAGAAGGGAAGGAGATGAGCATTGTTTGAACCTTAGTCTCATAAGATTTGACTAAAGAAGGGAATAACATAATCAGTTAGGTATAGAAATCTAACATGCCCTATAGGCAGTAGGAGGGAAAAAGGGAAAGAAAATGGAGGGGGCTAATAGAAGGGAGGTGGGACTGAGGGAGGCGGTGGTCAAAAGCAAAACATTAGTGAGGAGGGAAAAGGAGAAAGGAGAAAGAAAAGCATAAAGGGGGGAAGGATAGAGAGAAAGACACAGATAGTAATCATAATTGTGAATGTGATATATGAATGTAATGGAATACTATTGTGCTATAAGAAATGATGAACAGGCAGACTTCAGATAAACCTGAAAAGACTTATATGGTTTGATGCTGAGTGAAGTGAGCAGAACCAGGAGAACATTGTACACAGTAACAGCCACATTGAGTGATGACTGACTTTGATAGACTTAGCTCTTCTCAGAAATACAAGGATCTAAGACATCTCGAAAAGCCTCATGATGGAAAATTCTATCCACATCCAAAGAAAGAACTATGGAGTTTGAATGCAGATTGAAGCATACTATTTGCTATTTTTTTGTCCTCTGTTGTGTTTTGTTTCCTCTTTCTGATGGTTCCTTCTATTGGTTCTAATCCTTCCTTACAACACCACTAATGTGAGAATATGTTTAATAGGAATGTATATGTATAGTCTATATTAGATTGCATGCCATCTTAGGGAGGGAGGTAGGGAGGGAGGGGGAGAAAAATTTAAAACTCAAAAGCTTATGGAAGTGATTATTGATAATTCAAAATAAATTAATAAAACATTTTGAAGAAAAAAAAGGCAAGGGCTGGCCTAAAGGGGCATATTCTTTCTCATGAGCTCCTCAAGAGGAGGTATTCAAGTAAAGGCTGAATGACCCCATGACAGAGAAGTTACAGAGCGGGCATTCCTGTTTAGGTCCAAAGCCCTCTGAGATAGATCCCTTCCAAATCTGATAGCTCATCATTCTGTGGCCCCGAAGGTGTGATGTGAGGGGTGTGAGTGAATTGGTGGCTTGTACTCTGCCTCCCTGTCCCCCAGTGCTGGTGATACCCCTTACTAAGGGACAGAGAGGGGCGAAGTGTCCAGGCCTGGAGAGGAAAGAGGACAGCAAACTTTTCCTCTCAAGGCCTGGAGAAAAGCAGAGCAGCAGGGAGAAGGGTGAACTTGGGAGGAAAGAGCTAGGTTTTAGTCTTCCTCCAGAGGCCTGGTTTGGCCCCTGGAGTCACTCTCAGTATCCCCAACCCTGCTCTCACTAATCCCCCCACCCAGAGCTGAGTGCTTTCTTCCACTGACACGCTGCTCTCTGGAAAGGACTGATGTTCCCCTCAAAGGCAGGGGCTGCTGGGGAGTTGGGGGGGAAGACCTGGGGTGTCCTGGCCTCCTCCAGTTTCCATCACTGCCTCCCCAAGCATCTGGCAAGCAGTCAGGCCACAACAGAGGTGAGTCCCTAGCAGAGTCTGATCTGGGAATCTGAGGCTAACCCAAGGGAATGACCCCCTAATGGTAGAAGCTGAGGCACAAGGTGGGGTAGAGAAGGGGGGATTCCAGGGGCCCCAAGCCTCCTCCTCACTGAGGTGCCAGTTTTTCCAAGGCAGTACAGGGCAGATCCTCAGTGCCAGAGGCTGGCCAGAACTCTCCCCACCCATCCCTCTCCTCTCCTCAGCCTTTCTTGGGGACTTTCCCTTCCTTCTTCTCCCACTTGGGGCTCATCTGGGATCTCAGATCTTCACTCTCCTCTACTCTAGGGTAGCCCCCCTGGCCTTATTCCCCTGTTAGAGAATGGAGTGGGGAGAAGATCTCTCTCAGGCCAAGAGCCTCCCCAGCTGAAGGGGAAGGTGGCCTCAGGGCAGAGCCAGACTTCAGTGCAGTCAGAGACGGCCCCAAAGAAAGGGACCGAGAAACTCAAGTTCCAAAGACCTAGAGACAAAGGTGGAAAGAGGCTGGGAGACCCAGAGATCCAGAGACTAACAGACAGGCCCAGAGACTGAGGAGGCTGAAAGAACAGAGACTGAGAGACAGAAGAGTCCAGTGACAAAGGGGGAGCCCAAGAGACCCAGAGGCTAGAGGATGAAAGCAGAGAGACCCAGAGATGCAGCATCTGAGAGATGCTGTGTTAGACTGGGAATGATAATAGGACTAGAGAGGGGGATGGAGAGGGAGGAGATGAGAGGGCCAATGATGAGGGGAACAGACTCAGGGGAGGCTGGGATGGAGAAAGGTTGGCCAGCACAAAGCAAGAGGTGGACAGATGATCGGTGGTATCTTTGTCCCCAGATCCCAGGGGCTGTACACTGGGGCTGCTCCCTTACCTGCAGGCTGGGCTGGGTCTCTGGTCACTTCAGTGTCTTGTCACCGGGGCCCAGGGCCTCTGAACATTAGTCAGGCTCAGGAAAGTGAGAAACTCGATGAGTGTACACTCACCTCAGCCCCACTGTCCCGCCCCTGCCCCGCCTTCCCTCTCTCTTCTCTCTAGCAGATGCCCCCTGAAGTCTGCTCCCCCTTACTGCTGTGGGAGGTGTGGCCCTGTCCTCCTGGGGAAAGCACCAACTTGGCCAACCTAGGGAGACCTCAGTGGAACACGGACTGATAAAGGCTGCCACTTCAAACTGGCACAAACCATAGGATGAGGTCTAGATTCTGGGATGGATTGGACTCCAGATTCTGGGCCCTCACCTCTGGAATAATCTTCTGGGTTCTGTGATAAACAATGAGTTCCAAATTCTAAGCTCCAGTTTCAGGGTTGAAGTAGACTCTGGCCTTCAAGGCCTGGATTCTGCCTGGGGTGGACACTGTCCTCTAAGGTCTGTGTTCTAGGCTAGACTCTGGGCAGTCAGATCCGAGAGCTGGGTTCTGAATTTCGAGATAGACCCTGGATTCTGGACTGGATTCTGAGCTCTAGGCTCTGGGTTCCAGATTCAGGGCTAGAGGTTGACTCTAGAGTCTAAGTTCTAGGCTATACTGAATCCTGAGCTTCAAGGGCTGGGTTCTAGGATGAACTTCATACAGATATTGTTCCTCCATGGAGGAGCATCTCCAATGAAACTGTGGGTGTTGCCTGTCACAAGGTTCCCTGGACCCTTCCTTCTACCTTTAGGACTCTCCTCCTTTGGGAGGCAAAATTGAGAAACCCTGAGTGGCTAGAGCCTTAAATGAACATAATTTCCTGAATCCTTGTATGTGCCCCCAGGGTTAAGGGCCTGGACAAGGCCGAAGGCCAAGCACAAAGCTCTGTAAACAGTAGGTGCTTAATAAATGTTTGTTGAATTGAACGTAAACTGGATTTGGAGCCAGAGAATCTGGGTTCACATTCTAGGTCTGGTTATGATATTTGGCTATCTTTTCTGCTGTGGCCTTGGACAGATTGCTTTCCCTCTCTGGGCCTGAGTTTTCTCATCTGTGGAGTGAGAGGAGAAGGCAAGGGAGCAGAGGGGCCTGGATGATCTCCCAGCTTCCTTCCAGCTCTGAATCGCAGACAACTCTTCTAGGGGAGCCCTCTACAATTTAGCCTCAGCCACAGCTGGGCTCCCTGGGCTCAGGGCTGGTTTTCTGGGAGCAGAAACATTGACTGCATCCATCGCATTGGAGGCCTAGAAGAACACCCCTAACCCTATCCCAGGGCTCACCTCCTGATGAGCAGGACAAGACGGTGAAGGTCCTAGCCCCTGGAATTGCACGGCCCCTTGGCCTCCACATCTCTGCCACTTGGCTCCCAGACAGTGTATCTCTGCCTCCCTTCTCCCAAATGTCACTGGGACTGCTCTGTGACAAACCTCCCAACCTGGGTGATATACTACGAGAAATGATGACGTGAGGGGGAGAGAGAGCCACTGAGGCCGCTGGCCAGGTTTGGGGGCTGTGGCAGACTCTGAA